TTATTTGACTTTGGGCACAACTAATGTGAATTTTATTAATATTATTATTTATATGATTAATTTCTAAGTAGGAAATAGTCAAGTGTACAAGATTCAATGGTCCAAATCTTACCCCACACGTAAGAAATCCATGCGTATTAAATTCCACGCTGAACTTTGTAGGGAGTGTTTGTTTGGAAGTTTGAATTTTGAGTTACGATTTGAATGGTAAAAATTTTGAATTAGAATAATTGTATGATGTGATATAAATAGGTGTTGGTGTTATATTTTGAATGAAAAATTAATTTTAGAATAATATAAAAAATAAAAAATAAGTGTTTGATGTGATGTGTTTTAGAGGAAAATTTGAGTGAATAGTAGATTTTTGGCGAAATTCCTCCAACAAACACACCTATGATTTTGAGGGGTTTGGATTTGAATACTAAAATATTTGAATTTGAATAATTGTATGATGTGATATAAATAGGTGTTGATGTGATGTTTTGAATGTAAAATTAATTTTTAATATAATATAAAAATTAAAAAATAAATGTTTGATTTGATATTTTTGAGAGAAAAAATTTTAATGAATAGTGTAAGTTTGGGACTCCCAAACAAACACACCATTAGTAAAACAATTGTACATGAATACTTTTAGGTGACTTATGTTACAGACAATGAAATAAACTTGTGGAGAAATGAGAGAAGATAATAGCATTGTAGAAAAAAAAAAAAAAAAGAATTTAATAGAGAAAATTGTTAAAAATGCATGTATTTGGATGAATCGATCAAGAATAAAAGATTAATGGTACAATAAAAATTTTAACGAATGAAAATCCAAAAAAATGATTTTTTGTGATTTTTTTTTTAAATAATAAATTAGATGTGACACTCTGGCTTGTAAGTCATGTAAAACCGAGCGTGTCAGTGTCAGGATTGTAAACTGGCCCTACAGGTCAGCACAAGTCCTTTTTTCTGTTTTCTTGAGAGACTTCCTATCTTCAAATTACTCTAGGACAAGCTCGTCAGTAGGGTTTTCGAAAAAAAACGTGCATATTATCTATTAAATCTCTTTAATATATATTCAACCTTGAATGGTCTGACACCGACTCATCCACGGGAGTTGATCTAGCACCGGCCAAACTCCGGATATTACATTAGATACGATATTTTGTAAAATTAAATTTAGTATAATTTTTTTAAAAAATAGTAAAAATAAATAAATAAATATTTGAACAATAAATTAAATATAATATTTGATAAGATCAAAATAACATTATTTAATAAACACAAAAATTAAATAATACAAAAGATAAAAAAAATAAATATAATGCATCAATATACAATTCTTTATATTTCCCTGTAAATGATAGAAAACAAAATCAAACAATGAGAAATAATTTATTAGACCATGTAAAAAATAATAGAAAATATTTATGTAATTTATATAATGTATTTATAATAGAAAGTATAATGTATATATAATAATATATTTGTAATTTATATAACAACTAAAACCGTATCTTGATAGTAGTATATTATTATTTTTTTATAATAGAAAATAAATATTTTTTAATAGACCAATAAAAAAAAAAACATATTTTCAATAGAGACACTAGAGTATCATCCAGCCCCTCCCAAGCAGACGCTGCCTTTCTTCTTTTTTTTTTTAATTTTTTTTTAAATATTATATTTATTTAATATTTATAATAATTATAGGGTAAAAAAATATATATGTCTTTTTGTAAAGAATAAAATTTTGTATAATACGAATAAATAAAAATTTAAATATATATATGTTTGATATAATATAAATTCATAATCAAATCATAAAATATAAATTTTATCAATTAAATTTAATACATATTTATATTATTTTATTCATTATCCATCAAATTAATACATATCAAAACTCCTCAAACTCTGACCAAATTTAAATACAAAAAAAACAATAAGACTCAAACACATCAAATTGCCCCGTACCCCTCTAAGGAAACACACCCTTATAATTAAGGAAGTTGAGAAATTTTCTCCTATGGAAATTAAAATTTCAAAATTTGGACCATTTTAATAGTCTTAAATAGAGTGTCTTTTATATAGCCTTATTAGACCATATGAGAGCAAGCACAATGGACTAGTTTTGGATAGTCTTTTGGTACAAACAAAAGTTTTTTGTCCAACCACACAAAACATACATACAACAGGTGTGTTTGTTCGGGGGATTGGATTTTAAATACATTATTCATCATTTTTTTTAAAAAAATAAATTAAATCAAACACTTATTTTTTATTTTTTTATATTATACATCAATTTTACATTCAAAATATCACATCAATACCTATTTATATCACATCATACAACTATTCAAATTCAAAATCATAGATTTCATATAGTACCTGGTATTGTAGAGACACTGTCGATGCAAAATTTTTTCATTTCTCCCTATTCTATCTCACAAAAACACACACTTCCCACCAAAAACATTAAACTCCCTATTCTCGTTCTAAGATTCAATGTATATAATTACCACCGGAACTCTATTTTATTTTATTTTCCTTATCATACATTGCCGTTGGCCAACATCGATAGTTGTTGGTGATACCTCCATTGATGAGTGCACCACCTAAAATTATTCTTCGATTGTAATATGTCAAAAGTTATTTATGTTGGATTTTTTTTTTGTTATTGTTTTTGCGTCATTTGCTTTCAGTGATTTTTTTGTTAATTTATTTAATCGGTCGTATAGTTTTGGAGTGAGTGAAATAGTGTATGAATTTTTGTTGATGTGAATAGAAATGAGTAGGATTAATCCTTGAGGAAGAGTTGAGCTCAATGGTGCATTGATTCACATGTTACTCGATCACAATTGGTATAAAATTTAAATGAAAATAGTAGATGAAATATCAGTGATCACAAATGATCCAATAACAATATCAACACATGAATCAACGAAACACAACCACTACACTTCGTTTAATGCTAACAAAGTACTAATAAATAGATAATCATCATCATACAAAGAAACAATACAATCATACTTTTTGCAATTGATCAAGAGAAAAAGTATCAATGTGTTAATCTGAGTAGATAGTGTATACCACATGACAGATAACATCATTACGAGCTATAGAACACCAATGGGAGACCTATAAGATAACAAAGAATGAAAGAACAAAGAGTAAAATATAAAATGTGATTAATTATTGATAGATGAAAGAATATTGATAAAAAAAAATTAACCACATAAAGAGTATAAATAACTTATAACAATATAACGTTACGACTAAAAAAAATAATTATAAAAATACTTTATTAGCTCACACAAACTAATTTTCAAATATATGTAAAAGCATGCTCCTAAAACATAACATTTTTTCAATTAGTAATTTTCATATAATACATAATAACAAGTTCACTAACTTAACTCGTTTTTCTACACAATGAGACATTCCTTATCCTAAAATTGTTATGCATATCTGATCTAAATGTCTATAATTAACTTCATTTTCAAAATTAAACATAAAATATATCTAGACATAAAATAAAATATAACTTCGAGTCATCCATAAAATAAATAGCATGTTATGCCAATAGTGAAAATATTGCAATATAGTAGTCAACCCCGACAAATTATGTAAATACATATGTATATACATCTGTCTAAGTAAGCAACCAAAATAACTTCGGCCTCATAACAACCGATTCATTAGACTATTGTCAATAAATAGCTAGCAAATCCTCAGCTCAAAAATAAAAAATTTGATAAATTCATAAGAATATAATGGTCATTTAGCCAATTTCATTTGTCTATCATACGACCCCCAAACAATATATATTATGGATAGCCGACGTTGTCATCATTAACCATAAAATACTCTATAGTTTGTGATAGCGAATATAGGATCTTCCGATCTCGTCTTAATATGAGTAATATAGTTGTATTCGTGCAACCTAAAATCACTCAATGAAAACTTAGAATCAAACTGTCATGAATTTTGAGCATATGATATATTGAGGCCCAATACATACACAATCGACCCGCCCAATTGAAGCTCGGATCTATAACCTGCAACCCGACCTGGTGGATTAGAAACAACACAAACGATCGTTATATTAGATGGAATAAGTCATTGTACATAATTTGTAGCATATTAGTACTAGGTAACAATAATTGGTTAGTACACAAAAATTAAAAAATAATAATATTTTAATATTAAAGTGATGCAGTTAAAAAATAAGGGAAGAGAATATTATAAAAAATTTGTAAATAATTGATAAAAAAAATAAAAAAATAGGTAAGTAGAAAAAACAGTGGCAAATTGAAAATAGTTTGTTAAAGTAATAATAATAAAATTATGAGTGGATAAAGTTATTTACTGTTATAAATGAATTGTTTATAAATTTAGTTGATGATAAAAAAACAATAATAATATTGAATTTATTTTAAAATTATAAATATTATTAACTATATAAAAAATAATAAAATAATATAATTAATTAAATATCATTACCTTGATACTGTATTACTAATAAAAATTGTCAATTGTGCTGAAATTATGGGAATATAAATTAAAACAATTTCAATAACAACGGGTGTATTTATTTTATAAAATAGCTTGAATATTTAAATGCTAAATATAAAAAATAATAAATATATATAATATATTATTATTATCTATATATATATAAAAAAGAGATCTGTAGGGTTGGCTCCACTAAATCTTTTTTATTCATATTTTTGATTTTTTTCAATAAAATTAAATTAATATGTATTAAATGCTATTAATTATATTATAATTGATAAAATTATAATTAATATATTTTTAAAGATAATAAAAAAATTGATTTAATTTTATGATTAAAGTAAATTTGTTTATATATATATATATATATATTTTGGATATGTTAGTTTGGAAAACAAAAGAAGAAGAAGCCTATATGCCATAAATAAATAAATAAAATATAAAGACAGCCCAACTCCGACTCCAAATACAATCCATTCCATCTGCAATCTGAGCCCGCTTTCCAATCCCTACTTCGTCTCCTCACTCCGCCCGGCCCCCTCCTCCGCCCCCGCCCTCCTCCTCCTCTCTCTGGACATCTTCTTCTTCAGAGGTTTTGTAGGTGCATCCATTTTGCTTCGTATCTGATTGAGGATTAATTTTCGCCTTGGATTTCCTCTTCGCCATTTCAGAGGGTTTTCGGCTTTTGGGGCACTGCACTGGAAAATGACGAAATTCAGAAAGCTCAATCGGCCAACCGGCCACCGAATGTCAATGCTTAGGTATTAGAGAATGTTTTTTTCCGAATTTTGCCCCCATTTCGTTATATGTCTACTTGTGCATATATTACGTTTTGTCCTGGAGATTATGATATAGGTTTTGATTTTGTACAGGACTATGGTATCGCAGTTAGTGAAGCATGAGCGGATCGAGACCACAGTTGCTAAGGTGATCATTTTCCCATTGTATTTTTTTATTTTTGGAAAATTAGGGTTTAACCGAGGTTTTACAGTTTCTTTGAATTGATCCTGTTAGCTTAAAATTTTGTTGGACCATTGTTGAAGTGGTACTACTTCTCCTTGTTTAAGTCAAAATTTGAAGGATCCAAACTTATAGATGTTGGGCGTGAGGAAGAAGGAATATTTGCTAAGAGTTAGAAGGATAATTCAACTTTGAAGGCTAATTAGCAAACGAGGATGTGCTTTGTTGGAAGAATGAGATATTAATCAATGAAAGATGATGCATGTTAACACCTCTCAGTTAGACTGCAGTAATACAATTCATCATGCTTTTAGTAATACAATGCATATGTGCCGATTTTTCCTTCTACTTTGGGAGATTTATGCTGCGGTTTGGTATTGTGAATCCTGATGTTTTCAACAGCCTGCCTAGCATCTCGATGTTGGGCAAGTTTTTGGTTCAGGAATTAAATTTTGTCTTTGGATCTCTCTATCTGTTTCTATAGGCAAAGGAAGTTCGTCGGCTTGCTGATAATATGGTACAGCTTGGAAAAGAGGTATGTAATACAGTGGTGCTTGATTTACATGGTTCATATGCTTTGTTGTTTATAAGACATATTTTTAAAGAGAACCTCTTCCAAATGGGGTTGAAGTGGGAAAAAGTATTTTCAGTTCAGTGAGTCGAAGAAATCAAATGTTTTTGAGAACTTATTGTTTGTCAAAAAACTTTTAGCAACATCTATTCAATGTAATGCATTTGATATTTAATGTTGCTTATTTTATTTATTTATTTATTTTATTGGATCATAAACTAATCTATGCATACACTTTAACAACTGCTTTTATCAGCTACATGTTACATAGCCGAAGCCTAATCTTTTGTGAGGTGATATACTTTGGACACATTGGCTTTACTGAAACAGGATAGAATTTAGATGATTCTGCACAGTCATTACACACAGCTTTCTGAAGATTAAGCTGCTTCGATCTCTGAACTTAATTTCAAACCAGTTGATAAGCAATAACCCCATTGATTCCCCTGAAAATAAATTGAAATGACTCTTACCAGTTCTTGCACAGCATGCTCTTCTGCTGCTTCTTGATTACTACCTTTAGTGAGTAGGTGCCTTTTTATAAAAATTTCACGAGTGATCACTACCATCGATTACATGCAGTGATCTATTCATTTCATTTTCTTCATTACAGCTCCCTTTTGCTACCCTGCACAAACATGATCAATGGGACAATTTTGGCTTCACTATATCTAGTCTTGGACCCATACCTTGTATTGTAATCACCATTTTTAACATAGACTTGAGCTTTCTTGAACTTTATATACGCCTAAGCTATATTAATTTAGCCCGAAAGATCCATATGAAGATTTATGTGGATCATATGCTGATGCATATACATTAGCAGCTATTAGTGGATCATCGAGACTTAGTTATTCTAATAATAAGCTACGAATTAGGGAAATTTATCTGCTAGTGAAGTAGGCGTTAATGTTTGTAATTCTTGGTGGATTTTATAGCCCTCGATTTTCTTATCAACACTTATGCCCATGTAGGGAACTCTTTGTGCTGCAAGACGTGCTGCTGCCTTTGTTCGTGGGGATGATGTGATTCATAAACTCTTCACAGAATTGGCCCATCGATACAAGTTATTGTTCAATCTGCATCTTGTTAACCATCATGTTAAAAGACAATGCAATAATACACTGCAAATTTGTTGTGACAGGGATCGGGCTGGTGGATACACTAGGTTGCTCCGAACTCGGATTCGCGTTGGTGATGCCGCACCAATGGCTTATATTGAGTACGTGAAGTCCTTCAAGCTATTTGCTGACCTTTTTTAAAAGCCCGACTTGTCTTTTTCAGACGAAACTCACATTATACCTCCTATTTTTTTTGGACTTTCTTGCTTTCCTTGGCAGGTTTATAGATAGAGAAAATGAACTTAGGCAAGCTAAGCCACCAAACCCGCAACCACCACAAAAGGCACCCTTAGATCCATGGACAAGATCCCGGCTGACCCGACAATTTGCCCCATCTAAAGAAACAAAACCTTCTGAATCTGACAGTTGATTGGAAGTCAGTCGGGGATGCCAGAGTTGTGTTTTCGTCTTCATCCTGGTACACGTGAACTCTCTGTTTGCATAAGCTATATTGTTCATCCGGGTATCGAATTTTGGTTGAATGCTATAGCAAAGAATTTGAAAAAAAAAAATAATATTTTGGTTTCATTCTCTCATTCAGGTTTATTCTGTGATGGTATTTACTTACATTACTATTCAATCTAGCAATTACATCTAAAATGGTTTCAGGCAACAATAATATTTATTTAGCACTATGACTTTACTCATTTTGTGGGCTGTGTAGGCAGTTTTATTTTACATTTTAGTGATGCTGATGATCATCTTTTCTTTGGACATCAATATCTATAATTAAATTTATGATAATCTCTTTTTATAATTCTGTTATATGTGTCAATGGTTGTATTCAAATTCATTGTAGAATATTTTGTTATGGACACTAGTGAATTACATTATACAGCCTAGGATGTCAATGGGTGAATTTTTTATTTTTTATTTTTCAATAAAATTATGTGTTATTTGAACTTTAAGGGCACCTTTGGTACAAAGAATTGGTGGTAGAGAGATTAAAATAAATGGTTTTTTTTTTTTTTTTGCAAGTGGAAGTTGAGAATTGAAAAATAATTCATTTTTTATTTTCTATTTTCAATTCTTTCCAATATACAGAAAAATAAGAGAATAAATTTGTGATTTGTGGTAAAGAAAAAAAATATACAACTTATATCAAATTATTTTTATTACTTCTCAATTTTATTTTATTTTATTTTTGTTTTTCTTCAATTTTTCTCCTCCATCTTCGTCTTGGTCATTATTACGTCATACCGTAGGGTTGGAGGATTTTATGTATAAATAATAGGGTTCTATTATTATTATTATTAGTATTCTCAATTATTATTATTATTATTATATATATATATTTTTTGTTTTATCAAACAATAACCAATTCTCATTTTTCAGATAAATTTTTTTTTCTACAATTTAATTTTCTGCTTTTTTTTTTTTTTTTGTAATTTTATTCCCAGTACCAAAATGCACTCTAAATAATGCCCAAGTTCGGATGGGTTTGGGCAACAACCACCTTTCGAAAACTTGAAAGTTTAGAAAAATTTAGAACTGATAAAAGAGTAAATATTGGATATGATATTTTATTAAAAAAAACAATCATTTAATATAATATTTATTGAAAAAATATTGATAAGTAATATGAAACTTTCAAAAATATACAATAAAAATAATTGAGTGCTTGGGGCATATGTTTGTTATTTATTATGCCAAATATAATAATGATATTCTATGATTTATTCAATAAAAATATTATGCAAGCAAAGCAAAGATAATTAGGAAATAATACTCTTTCCATCCCCAGTATTATTATTTTTATTTATAATTTTTTTTATTTTTTAATTTAATAATTGTAATACTTTTAGAGCTTATAACAAATGCTATTGTTTTATATTACATAAAATTAATAGGAATATTTTTTTAACTATAAATTAATATAATATTAATATTTTAAAAAATATACAAAAAATAAACACTATTCTTCTTATAGGACAGAGTATAATTGTTTTTGGAAGGCATGAACATTCTACTTTGGAAGTTAAGTAAAATATAAAGTGACAAATATATAATAACAATCTAAACAACACAAAGCTATAATATTTATGAAATAAATCATTTATAAATCTTAAAAAAAGAAGAAAAAAAAATCTAAAAACATATGAACTTCGTACATGGTAAGACATATTACAGCTGCATTTTAATAAGAAAATATAAAAAATAAAATAAAATAAGTAGGAATAAATCCATTTTGTTAACTTTAATAAAGTGTGTCATGGGAATCAGAGAATAGCACTAATTATTTTGTCCCAAATCTGTTTTTAGTATGACACTAATTGCCATCTTTTCCCTCCTCTTTCCTTTTCTTTATATATATATATATATATATATATATATTTATTTATTTTAATATTATTATTATTTTTTTTTAATTTTTTTTTTATTATTACTGAAAGAGAAAAACATTGGGTCTCTTCTTTTAAAAATATATAGACAAAAATGCCTTAAAAGAATAAAGCCCTTTTGAAAACAATGGTTCTGATCAAAGAAGCTGGACCAGTCTTATACTTTATGGACATTTTTGCCCTCAACAACTCCCCCATGGTTATGACATATCTTGTCACAAGAATGAGACATCCTTTGAATCTTTACAACCAGCCAACATGTTTGGACATCACTCACTCAACTGTGACTCTCAATATATATAAGGGAATGGGGGTGCCACATTCTTGGGGACTCCCTGGAGCTCAACACCAGATTGGTAATTAGTGAGATGTGGTGCTGGGCTCCAGGACCTCCCAAGAATCATGCAATGAAGTGATATTTTCTAGTAATTTATTTGATTTGGGACAAGAAAATTTAAATGTCAAAGAAGGTTGGCATGGCATGATCACATATATATATATATAGATATATAATGTTGTATGTGTCCTTAGCATTGATGTGTGCAAAAGGGATTTGTGTTTTTTCATCCCAACAAGATGAGGTGGGTTGTTGTGGTCTGAAATTAATTTAAAATAAAGTGTTAGATTTAAATTTTTATTTAAATGATATTTTGTGACAAAAAATAATATATTATATTGAAAATTGTATAAATTGAATAATATTTATTTCAATTTGAACTTACAAAAGAACAAAACTAATATATTATCTCTATTTGGAACAAAACAAAATAGAATGCTAGGGTTTGTTCATTTGGATTTGATTTAGTACTTTAGTTTTGAATTTTTATTTGAATATTGAGATGATTATATATATATATATATAAAAATTCAAGTCAAACTCGTAAGTAAACAACCCAAAGTATAGTGAAGAATTCAAATGATATTGTCCATGACGAACGAGCTGATAATGTGGGGTAGGACGTATGACAATGAGGTCATGGGTTCAAACTTCGGACATAGTTTACTTTAATAAGAAAATAAATTATATAATATTTTCACAATTCCTCGTACTCTAATGGGATTAAAAAAAATAATAATTATAGAATATTTATAAAATTATATGAAGTATTAATTTTATACTATAATGAATGAGATGCAATCAAAAGTACTTTTTGGCATATGAACCAAACCGTGTAGTGTTTGAATATTAGTTCATTACTATCATACTATTATATAAATAAAGCCAAATAAAATAACATGAGTGCATAATTTATTATTTAAATCCAAGACTCTGTATCATTACAAATTTTTCGTTTTTTTTTTTTTTTTTTTTTTTCAAATTTAAATTGTAGCTTTGAATATAATTTTTGGTGAAAAGAAATATGCATTTTTATTAAAACCGAATCATGAAAATTAATTAGGATAACTTTTGAAAAAAAAATTCAAAACAACAAATCCTTTTTATTAATGGGAGAGATGTTTGTTATTATTACTCTCTCCGTCCAATTTTTATTGTCTTAAAGTATATTTACACAGTTTTTCTAGGTGATTATCTTTTTTGTTATGAATTGACAAATTTGCTCTTAGATGAAAAATAATAAATTAATGAAGGTTGCATTTTAAAAAAAAATAATAATAATAGTTGTTGGACATCCCAAATAAGAAAGTAAGACATTAGTTTGTGGATGGAGGAAGAGAGTATTATTATTATTATTATTTTACATTTGAAGTACATTATACTATCTATATTTTATTTAAAATATTATATAAAATATCTAATTTTTATTTAATATAATATATAATATTTATTTATATTATATTAAATATTTGAGACTCCTTCGGTTCAGTAATTATGTCGGTTTCTTTTTTGGTTAACTGCTGAACTTTTGCAATAAAATACTGTATTCAGTCATAATTTTATTATATTTTTATTTTAATAAATAATAATTAAATTATTATTATTTTTTCTACTTGCCTCAAAAAAACTTTTTTAACTCTTTAATAATTTTTTTATAATTATTTTTAGTTTTCGCATCTAACTACACAAAAACAAATATACTGGACAAAGAGAATATATTTATTTTTTATTACATATAAAATAACTAAAAATATATAAGTGTTATTTGTTTGTGTTTATAGTAGTTTACTTTGATATTTTATAAGAAAAAATTGTATTTTTCTAAAAAATTATAAAATATAGAGTATATAATAAAATGATTGAAATAAATAAATAACTAAGATAATTAAAAATAAATAAATCAAAATGTGTACATAAATTAAAATAAAAGAGTGAAAGTGATGAGAGGGTGTTGGGGGTAAATTGGAAGTCCATAATTGATGTCTCATATCAATCATTTGCTTCCCCTCGTGGCTATATTTCATCATTCTATTTCATGCCTAATTTAATCATTCCCATTTTTTTTTTAAAAAAAAATAATAAATTAAATTAAATTATACAGATACCCACTGGGTCGTTCTCATCTTGGTAGAAGAGTATGTGACAGATGAACAAAACATCTTCTAGAGAATCCCATAAATTTCTTTAATACTACAAAATAAAAATAAAATAAAATAAAATAGTACCAACACTTCTTGTCCAAGTAAGAAGATGGGACCACAACTCCTGATGATACCCTACTAAAAATTTATATATGATATTTAATACAACTTAATTTTTATTTTTTTTTTTGATATATATAACTTAAGAAAATATATTGCAACTAGCCATTTTATTGATCTTGGTACGAGTGATGTGGTTTGCATTGGGGGTTGGAGTCCCGGGACCCGCCAAAAATCAGCACCACCTTCATCAATTCTTGATGATATTAGTTTAGGGAGTAGCAGAAATTTAGGTGCAGCTATTCAAGTGGACTTTTAGGGCTACTCTTTGATTTCTAAATAAATTAATAAATATCCCAAACTCCCATTTGGATATCACCAAATTCAATCTTAGCATCATGAAATTTTTCCAAATTTGTACTTTAAAATTATGTACACACATTTTATGTATATATCTAAAAAAATGTGTTAAAAAACTAGTTTAACAGAAGTGGGCAGACAAACCAATTACTACAATAGCCTCTCCCTCAATTTAAAACAGAAAACAATTAAAAAAAAAAAAAAAAAAAATCTCCAAAAACCAAACACCCCCTAAACCAATTTCTTACCATCAAAATTAATTGATTAGTTATTTCAAGAACTATATATGAAAGATCAGAAACTATTATATATATAACTCTTTCATGAATTCATTCATATCATATATATATATATATATATTAAAATTAAAAAAAAAAAGAAGAAAAATCAGACTCTGAGCAAATAGATACTAAGCTCAGGTCCTCCATTGCCATCTGGATTCATCATATAGAAAGCTTCAGAATCTTTGCTGCCCACAACCCTCTCAAACTTTGCCCGCATGTACATCATCTCCCCCTCCGAATCTGCCCCGGGCAGCACCCCCGCCCCCATCGAAATCGGCCCGATGGCGTCCAGGACCTTCCACTCCTGGACCCCACAGTCCCTCCTCATGGCGTACCCACACTTCTTACCGTTGCAATACGTCCGCCAGATGGGTTCTTCTAGAAGCTTGAACCCTTTCTTCACCGCCGCCGCCTTCTTGTCGCATTCCAGCGCTATCCGTACAAGCCCCGACGCCATTTCCTTAACCAGTATGCTCGTCGGCGTCGCCATCTGGACCAGGAACGCCGGGACCTGCTTGAAATCCTCCTGGAACGCGAAATGGACGTGCCCCCGCCGGTACCCGAAGAGGGTGCCCACAACTTTGGTCCCTAATTGGGCTCGGCCCCCCCGGCCCAGGGCCAGCGCGGCCCGGAGCTTCGAAACCGCAACGGCTCCCGGGAGCTGCTTCTTCCTGGGGGTCCTCGCCGAGCGGGAGTGCTGTAATTGGACGGTGGGGATTATTTTGGAGGAGGAATCGACGGTGAGGATTTCTTCCATGTCGTCGTCTTCGTCTTCGACTGCGGCCTTGTTCTTCTTCCAGTGGAAGTATCGACGGGAGAATGAGAGCGATTCCTGAGGGTTTCTCGCCGTGATTGTCTTCATCCTTCGATTCGATTCGATCCGATCCTGTCGAAACACCAAAATTATACACCCAAATTATATTTATATATGAATTAATTGCAGAAGAAATTAAAAATGGCGGAGAGGAAGAAGACGATGGATTTGGGGAAAAGCTGGAGGAGTTTGAGAGGTGATTTAATGAGGGGGAGCATAGGGAACAGTTAAGTATTGGTAAAGCTACACCAAACTGTGCCCCACCATTCCATTTTCATTTTCATTCAAGAAATGAATAAATAAATAAATATGTATGGAGGCATTCAATTCATACACAGTGGGTATTTAATGTTAGGGGTGAGTGAATGAACATTCATGAGAGCCACCGGTGTGTATGTGTAGGTATACATGTATATATATATATATATATGTGTGTGTGTGTGTGTGACTTTTTCATACTCAAAGTTGATGGAGGTTGAAAATTGGATGCAGCCTGTGACTTTGGTTCTGTGATTGCCATTTCTCTCCATCTTTGGGTGTGTTACTTTGATTTGATTCGAGAAATTTTAGTTTGACGTTGATATTAAAATGTCGTAATAAGATGTTTTGTAAAAAAATACTCAATTCGTTCCGAAACTATAGTCTTAGTGGACACGAGATTTAAGAAATATTAATATTATATTAACAGTGGATAAAAAATACAGGTAAAAGACATATTTGCCCTTGTGAGTGTATTAATGTAAAAGGTAGTGACAATTGTGTAATATTAATGAAAGAGTAAGAGTAGTTATATAGTGATATGATTTTTTATGGAAATAAAACTAATGTTTTGAGACGGACAAAAATAGTAAATAAAACTATTGTATTGGGACGGAGAGAGTACATTTTACTTTTTTTTTTTTTTTTTTCAAAAATATATAGTTTAAATAATAAAAATTTTGATTTTGATGGCTAAAAAAACACACTCAGTTCTATATTATTATTATTATTATTATTTTACTTTTTTGGATTCATACGGACCTATACAATTTTTATTTTGTTATAAAGTATGAATCTCATGTAATAAATTCAGCCGAATCTAATAAACTTACAAATTAGTTGACTTACCTTGCTATCTAATTTGTAAGTTTTTAGATTCGATTAAATTTATCTAGAGTGCCAAAAAAAAAAAAAAGTGTATAATAATATATATATAAATATATGTGTGTTTCTTATAATTGGTTGGGAGAAAAGTTTTATTTGAATTTTATATTAAAATAATATTCTATGAATTATTTTGTGAGAGAAAAATTTTTTTTCAAAAAATACATAGATCAAATAGTAAAAAATTTGGAGTTTGAAACTAAAGAAACACACCCATATATTCTATTAATATTACAAAACTAACGTAAAAATAGATACAGATCAAGTATTTTATTCCATGTAAAATTAATTTGTGCACAATTGATTGCCCGTTTGGTTCGCATTATTTGATTGTAAATTGAATTAAAACATATACTTGTTTTGAAATAAATTTAAAATATGGTAGGCTTGTTTCAAAAATTATATTTCAATAAAATATATTGAAAAGGAGAATAATTTTTTTAAAAAGAACAAATATATATATTTTTATACATAATTTATATTGGAAAGGAGAATACTAATGTATAAAAATAAATAAATATTGTATGTAATATTTTGAACATAAAATAATTTTACTTAATATAATATTTTAAATAAAAAATAAAATTTGAATAGAATACCTTTTACGGAAGAAAATTATGATTAGTCATTGCAGAATCAAATTGAAAATAAAGTAAAAAACAGATCCTTGACAACTTGATTAACTGGTTCAGTTTCTTCCATTACTTGCAGACAAGTTCTAAAAGAAATTCTCAATTGGGATTTACTTAAATCTCCAAGACAAAACTTTCTTTGGTTTATGATTCTTTTGAACATACAAGCAACAATTTTTTTGCAAAAAAAGTGTACTAATATTGGATGTCTTAAAATGTTCACCTACAAGAAAGCAATAAAGTGATTACATACATACACATATATAGATATGCATACTGAAATGAAAAACCACTTAAGAGGATTCAAAATAATTTTGTTCTAAACTATTCATTGGAGGGCTGATTGAATTATATCAGAATCTTAAAAAAAAAATTCAGTGCATCTTACCAATGATTTATGAACCACAGATCAGTTCTCTTCCCTGTAACATAAATTGAAGAATTTCATTTGACTTCCTATTGAAGTAATGCCTAAAAAGAAACAACTATTATAATATTTTGCAAGTCCCCACTATTTCTTTTATAAAAGTTCATCCTTATTCAATGATTTTCAGTTTTTTATTTCTCTGAATGTGAATTACTATTTACTAGCACACTTGGAAATTTTCACAATGTCAGTGTCAAAATTCACAAAAAGTGAGATAATCATGATGACATTACATAGCATTGAGCCAATAAACCAAAATCAGCAAAGGAAAGTGCTGCCCACAATTAAATTCAATGGTCGGATTTGGGACAGATCAGTCACTAAATCTTAATTAAAAGACACAAGATTTTGTCCACTGGTTGTGTCAAAATTCTTGAATTTTATGGCTTCATAGTACAAAATATCTTGTCAGTTCTTGGTCTTGGAGCCACCCCTTTTGTCAATAATATTTTATACACTTGATTATTATATATGTGTAGTGGTAATGAGTTCAGAATTTTATGGATGACCTAATCATCATCTGCTCCCAACAACCAGAGACTTAAACTAGCTTACTTTTGATTTCATTAGATTTTAATTTCTTCAAGATTCTTTAAGTAATGATGCTACAGAATCAACATGCAAATCAAGATCCAAATTTCAGTGCAATGAAATCAAAGGCAACCTAGGATTGATTATAACAAATGCTTACAATCCCAGAACAAAAGATGCATATAATTTGTGACAGATTTATGCCTAGTGATTCTTCAAGCTAAGTTCCATAATACCATAGAAATGTCATTGTTTTTCATCAAGAATCAGGCAATTTATTTAAGTTACCAAGCCAAGAAACAGACCAGCAATCATTGTCCTAAACGACTAGCAAAGGGATTGACACCATGTAAGATTGCAGTTTCTAAAGGTTCAAATAAAGGTTTTGGAAGATCATTCCAATCATACCAATCCCAGCCGTCGCATTTATCTGGCTCAGGATTGATCAGCTTCTGACCCGGATCGACTAAGGCAGCACGCATTAGAATTGCTATTAACTGCACTGGTTTTGGTTTGGACAAGACATTGTTTGTAACCATCACAAACTCAACACCGGTGACGTCTAGCCCTGTTTCCTCCTTCACTTCCCGGGCTGCACACTCCTCAAAGCTTTCCCCTGAAATTGGTGATAATTCATACAGGTTTAGGTTCCTTTGTAGCAATGGTTAACTCATGTTGTCTCTTAGGCTCTATTTACTTTGAGATTTTATGTTCCAATTTCTTTACTACGCAATCCTCACAATTCTTTATAAAAATATGATATTTTCTCACAAAACATCACTTCAACCAAAAAAACAAAATCAAAGCCCAAAAAAGGATTAAGTAAACACAACCAAATATGGGATTAGAGTAGAAAAAAGGATCAGTTAAATCCAGTCGCCGAATAGATGTATGATGTAATACATATTTGAATGGAGATTAGAATAAACCATTTCAATTAAAAGCTCAACTATATCGTTTAAGATTCAATTTACACGATTAGTTGGTACCTACTTTGGTGAAATCATTTTCTACCATTTCAGTAATTACTATGAGTATTTTTATTCTACATTCCCAAGGGAGGTTCACAAATTTATACAATTAGCTGAGAGACCACATGCCAACAAGATTACACCTAAGTATTGACCACATAGCAACAACAAACTTGGCATCACAGGTCACCCAATCCACCCATAGCAAGAACCACAAAAATGGTGGTTTATTTCTACCTTAATAATTCGGTTATTAGCTACATTGTGCATTCATTGCTGTTAGGAGCAGAAAATAAGCCTATTGTAGATCCTTCAATTCCTCTTTAAAACCAAGTGTTCTATTTACTCATTCTCCTCAGAAAATTTCAAATCCCCCAATAGTTGACGTGAAATTGGGGAAATTAAAATCCTCCATCAAAGACTTAGGGTTTCACATATTATGGTCAAGCAGTTATCATTCCTTTCAATAAATGGACATCAAACAATCATCAATCCGTATAGTCAAACCCTAATTCGTTAGAAAATGAAGATGTTCATCAAACCTAATTTTAACAGAAGAGCAATAAAAACTGAGAGACCACAGAGTATGAGCCGAACAACCATTCTCTATTCAACATCAATCAAGTTACACAAACACAAATGCTGACCGAATTCGAGGTGACCGCCGGGAAGGGCGAAGGTTCCTGAGCCGACGGGGGTGCGGCGGCGGCCGAGCAACACTTTATTCCCGTTGACCAGGAACACCCCCACCCCAATTTCTTGCCTCGGTGGCTGTGACGGCGACGCCATACCTTAACGTGACTATTTTCTGAGCTTATACTTTAATTTTTATCTCATTATTGAGCAACAGGCGTTTGGTTTGCCAATAATTAAACACATTAATAAAAATAATAATAGCTCTTCAAAAAGGACCCTCAGTAATTCCTAGGAAGCTCCGGGACTTCAGCACCGGCCTGGCATACTATCTATTCTTACACCAAACGTTGCTCAAACAATGAATTAGCTGAAGCCATCAAAAAACCATACACACGTACATACATGTATGATACATATATATATATACAAGGTTTCCCAAATGAATGTAGAAATAATTCATGAACATTTTCTTGCCATGATCCAAGTAGAGTGATGATCAAAAGGGGCTGACGGCGCGGGCCAATTTCAGCATAAATTCCGGCACCAGCCGCCGCCTCGGCGGCGCCGTGCTGTCCTTCGCCAGAGCCTCCGAGTCGCCGGCGTGAATCAGAGCCACCAAATCTTCGAACATGTCGTCCTTACCGCCTCTCATTGGATCCTGAAGGAACAAATCCGTGTGCGTTTTCCCCTCGTAAAGAATCGACTCTGCCTGAACCCCCAGGCTTCGAAGAACCTCGGCAAAACTTTTGCTGCAATAACAATCGGATTCTCAAACTCTTGTCCGAAATGCATTGATGCACCGGTAAGAGAAATACGTTAAGGCTGACCTGGCATCGGAGGGAATCGAATAATCTGCTGTCCCGTGGAAGAGAATTATAGGCGGCAGCAGAGAGACAGCAGCCCGATTGCTTGGATCCTGCGCCATCACTTCCGGAGAGTATCGTTGTAATGACTCTTCTCCCTCCATTATGCTTCGAACAAACGATCACAGAATTTATCAACAACGCATCGACATATCGGACAAACATATCAGCTACTGACGAACAAATTTCTTACCTAAGAAAAATCGAGCGGTACAATCCGCGGCTGTGAAAGTGATCTACCAAACTGTAAAAATTGTACCTGCGCGTATTCGAAGAAAGCTCCCGTATTAGTTAACATAGATCGAAAAAATTTTATGTTTGTTGCAGTTAAAGAGACAAGCTTACCCTCCAGATAAACCGAAATATGCTTTAATTTGGGAGACGCTCCAAGAAATCTTGCTTCCGGAGGCTTCTTGAATCGCCTGTTCTAGTAGAGCACAGGAAGCAATGTGGGCGCCGGCCGACTGCCCCATAAGATATATTCTACGACGTGAAAGAACAGTCATGGTTAGAACTCAAAATGTGTATTCGTATCAGGGAAATAACACGATCGATCTACCTGTTAGGATCCCCTCCATATTCAGCGATATGATTGCACACAAACGAGATTCCTTGGGCGGCGTCTTTGATCATGTTGCTGATAGTTCCTTGAGGAAAGTTCCTGAAAATTGAAATGTTGGATTGGATGATTCGTTGTGGCAATGTTCATGAACTATTCATAAGGAAGAATCGACAAGAACACAATATATACTCATCAGAAGAACATCAGCGAATTCATTTACCTGTAATCTATGCAAGCCACTATAATATCCCTTTCTGATAATTGTTGTCCGAGAAGAGAACCCCATGCTTTGTAACTGCATCAGCAGAATTTCTGGTAAAAATCTTTGATAAAAACTAACAGATAACATTTCGCAAACGATATATATTATTGATCACCGATAGAGGAGCTCACACAGCATTGAATAATTGAATACAGATTATGTAATGCGACGTACTTCTAATGTTCCGTCATTACATTTCTTGATCTCAGCGTAGATTAGAATAGATTCTGACATTAACGTATTGATTTATTTGTGAAATTGCGTTTTTTTATCTACGGTTGACATATAAGGCGTATGGCTTACAATAGATAGCGTAAATATCTCAAGACAATAGCTGTTATCAATTAAACACATATTGATCTCAATGCATTATTCTCATGCCAATTCACAAAAATGTTTGTCTACGGACATTGAAAAATAGTCTTAAACGATTTCATTAAAACTATACGACGTGCATTATAAACACAGACATAGAATTGCCTAATTAAGAAAATCTTGCCAATTTCTTTCCAGTAATTATTTTGTTGAAGCACAACATCGGCGAAAGGGATGAAAAGAGGAAACAATACCCAATAATCCAGGCTCCACCCGTCACAAATGCAACAACTGGCTTTGGCCCTTCCCTATTTTTTGGTAAATATAGATCGAGCCTGTAAAGGAAAATTCAAACATTGAGACAATAAAAACCAGGAGAAAAAAATGGGGATAAGAGAAAATTTTAAAAACAAAGCTTCCTTGTTATAATAGGATTACAATATAAAGAATGGATTACAAGGAAACTTCACCTATTCCTGGGCAGGTCTCCATAAACTATACCACGTCGAATGTTTTTAGAGAAGAAGTAATAATATCCAACTGCACCACAAAGTAAATAAATTTAGGTAATGAGATCGATATGCTTAACCAAAATGCATATTCCGCAGCATGAACATCAAACAAGAGATGATTGCTATGTTTGGTAAAGATGGATATGAATTGTGAAGTTTGAGAATATCACTCGCGTCATATTGAAAATCATTTAACACGTTAATTTGCACAACAAGTAATTATGTTACTAACCTTGAACAAAACCAGGGAAAAGAAGGAAAGCATAAAAGCCAAGGGCAAGAAATCTAGTGATCCATCTGTAGCCTACCCTGAAAAAGATAAAAGCTTAGAAAGTGTTTAGAAGTGAAATTTTTACTTAAACATAAACAACTCTATGCTTGTGAGTGAAAAAAAATTATGATAGGGAAAATGCTGGTCCAATTAAATAGCACATTTATAAAAACATCTTCACTCCAAAGTACACACCATAATCTTATTACTGAAGACTGAAGAGGTAAATGGAAACATAGCATTGGAGAGTACAACAGCTGATTTTTCAAGACTCATATATTGGATTCCATGGTGTCCGCAACTTCAAATTTCTTAAGCTATCATTAAAGTGATAACTTTGTTCAAACAAATTCATGCCAATCCTCTTATATCATCTTATGCGAAGCTATTTAAGATCAAACAAGGATTCCTTGAAGCTTTATCAAGAACATGGTTAGGAGAAGTTTATTATATCCTCCACGCTACATTTCTTCGAAAATTTTAAGAGGCAATTTTATGAATAACACACCAGAATGCATAGCACCCGTCCAGTTTCATTCGACGTACATATCCAAACTTTAACACTAACAAATGAATCATTCTTTCCTCAAACAATGGAATTGTCATAAAACTAACTTTTCCAACACATTACGTTCCTAAACATCATAAAGAGAAAAACTAAGGCATAAACACACAGACTTGCATCCAAACAAAAGCAATCGTGTAATGACTAATGATACTTCGCATAAAATTCAAAACATAGTAAGATACAAAAACTTCTAAAACAGCCACAAGAAGAACAACAAAGGTTAGAATCTTTACCCAAGATACCGCAGTAACGTAAAGCTAAGCCGTGTAATCAAATAGGTGTCCGACGCAGCATCCCCCATGTTCTGCCGGAAAGATCGCCGCTCTCCGGCCGTTAGCGTTAAAAGGGAGGTATCACTCGCCGCGCGCCGCCGCCGTTTCTGCTGAAACGAATTCAAATGCAAATTCATATTCATATTCAAATTCAAATTCGAATTCAAATTCGCAGCAGCGTCCGTCTGACTCAAGGTCCTCGAAATCAATGGCCTCATCTCATGTTTCCGATTCTCCTCCACAGATGGAGGCATGGCAATCCTCGTGGCCCCCGCCCCCAAATCGTCCTCCGATCCGATCAGCATTGCCGCCGATGACGGCGCGCTTCTGGTCATCTGAGAAGGCGCCAACGGCGACGGGGAAGGAGGGCTGCTGGGAGTCGATACCGGGAGTATATGCGACGGCATTTTCCAGATATATATAGACACACGCAAACGCACACCCTGTAAATCTTTCCCAGGAATAATTTAATAAGTGGATGTCAGTTGAGATTGAGTGCAGTGTTAAGCTTGCAGTAATCGAGGATGGATGAAGATGGGGACGAAGAAACAAAGGGAATTCAAGATTCCGTCTGAGGGTTGCCAATCTCGAGCGATTGATTATTTACAGTTTTTATTTTTCTTGGAAATGTGTCGTTCGTTTTCGAAATTGCTTTGACCCTGCAAAATTAGGGATTTGTGGACCCGAAGTCCAGACGGATCACAGGACAGGGATGGGACCCACTTTCCGTTGTGACACGTGGCGCGTTTTGATATGCTACGGTTGGTACGTTAGGAACACTTGGAATTGGTCGTCTCTACTGTCGTGTCCGTTGGTGCCGTTGCTTTATGGGCTTTTCTTATTTTGGTAAGTTTGTATGTGACAACATATTTTTTCAATTTAAAGTTTCATACTCTTATTTTTTTTGTCGTCAGAATTTATCTATTTTTTCATTTTAGTTCATTTCATAACAGTATCTATATTTTTTTTAGTAATTATATTATTTATCTAATATTACAAATATCCTTTTAATTTAGAATATATTACACAAATACAGTTACATTTATATCATACAATATTAATAGGGTTAATTTAATTTTTTTACATTTATTTCTATTTCATCTCAATATAATACTAATATTTCTAAAACTCCGTACAAAAAACAAATTGATATATAGATATGAGAAGAAATTTAACAAATATTGATATTTATTGGTAGTTGGTAGAAAGTATGGATAAAAAACATTTTTGCTCTTGTGAGTGTATTAGTGTAAAAAGTAGTGACAATTGTGTAATAAATATGAAAAAATAGAGATAGTTTTACAATAATATAATTATTTATGAAAATAATTCTATTGTTTTGAAACACACAAAAATGATAAATAATATTATTTATTTGGACGGAGGGAGTAATTTATATACACATTTATTGCTTAATAAAGTAATCATATAGTTAACCATTAATAAACAGTCTAGGTAGTTAAACAAATGGTCTTTTTTTTTGTTTTTTTTTCTTAGTGCTTTTATATGATACAATTTTTTTATAAATATTATTAAAATAATGTAAAGATGAGATGTAATGTGGGAAAAAAATATAATTTTTTTTTTAAAAATACAAAGTTCAAATAAAAATTTGAATTTTGTATTAAAAAAAATAAATGGCGTGTTTGGCAATTAGCTGATAGCTGTTAGCTGTTAGCCGATTCAATTAGCTGATTTAACTAGTTGATTCGATTAGCTGTTTGTATTAAAATATTTGGTAAAACAACTGATTGATATTATTAGCTGTTTATACGTAAAATGATAATTGAGGACATTTCTATTTTATTCTTGTTTCTAATATATTCAATTATGTTTTTTTAGTTTAGAATGTTTAAAATTTTTTGTTATTAGTTATTGAAAATTGTAAAAGTGTTATAAAAGTATTTATTTTTATTACAGTTAGATTTAAAAAATAATATATTTTTATTAAAATATATAAATAGTTTTTTTTATTGAAAATGATGTAAAATATAAAATAATAAATATAGTTTTTTTTATTGAAAATGATGTAAAATATAAAATAATAAATTTTTCGTGTATATATTTATTATATTAGTTATCGATTAGTTCATTATATTTATAATTTTCAATAAATTTAATTTATTTTTAATATAAATTTATATAATATAATTTTAATAAAAAAATAAATTAATAATATTTATATTTTTTATTTTATGTTGTTTTTAATAAATTTATATATTTTACAATTAAAATAATTTTTATATAAAAATTAATTATTTTGAATTTATAAAAGTAAAACTATATATAATAAAATATTCTAATATAATTAATAAATAATCAAAATATATTTATTTGTGTAAAATTTATAATAAATTTTTAAGGGCATATAAAGAATAAAAAAAAATTACAGAAAATAGCTATTTCAAAACGTTGGGTAAGTTAGCTTTTCAGAAATTAGCTTTTTGGGTCCAAAAAGCTATTCCAAAAAGTTAATTTACCAAACACCTAAATTAGCTTTTTGACTGGTCAAACAGCTAAAAGCTATTCAATAAGCTAAAAGCTCTTCAAAAAGCTATTTGCCAAACACGCCCAAACCCCCAAATATTTTATCTTTTTTTAAAAAAATAAATGAATACTGAAAACTGTAAAATATACGCAGAAACAAAGTCCCACACTTTTCCATCTATGCATATATATATATATATATTTGTGTAGTATATAATTTTATTTTTTTTTGACAACATAGAAACCCCACGGTCGCTACCCGAAAATACGCACTTGGTAAACCTCGGCCAAAACTTTAATTTTATCAACATTAAATATGGGCTTGCAATTGAGCTCCAATTTAGATTTAATTTTTAGGTGTGTTTGTTTTCTATTAAATAAATTAAAATAATATGATAAATAAAAAAGAAGAGTATTGAATCAGGTTTACTATTGACTAAAGGTCAGCATTTTGACACTAGTGCACATTTATTATTTATATTTATTTAATACTTATTGTAGTAATATTGTTATAATTTTCCGTGCACGCGTAAATTTTAATAATTTTATTTTGAAGGATAAGCAATGCCACGTCGGTATTCTTACATGGAACGACTGTACTATATATGGATAAGGTATTAGATGAGTTTATTTGTTTTTAAATTAATTTTATTATTATTATTATTATTATTATTATTATTATTATTACTATTATTATTCAGTTTGTACCGAATACTTTTATTTTATAAAATATGAAAGTAAAATATTATTTTAATTATTTTTTAAAAAATTAAATTCAATTGTTTTCAAAATTTTATTATTTAGGCATTGTATATTTCAAACATAAAAAAATATTTTTTAATAAAATAAATACCAGATCAATTATTATTTAAATAATCCAAACTAAAAAACACACACAAAAGCTATTAGCTTTAAAATAACAATAACGGATATATCACATTATAAATTGCGCAATGAAAATACAAACAACACAGCATTATGTTAAATCCTTGCAACGGCATCTCCAACCCAGAGCCATTAATGACACGCCAAATCCTGCGCCATTTTTTCAGCGTTGCTTTTTTTTTTTTTTTTTAATTTTTAATTTTTAATTTTTAATTTTAACTTTTAAATTTATCTTTTATTTTTCTAAATTATAAAAAAAATATTTTAAATTATAAAAATAAAAATTATTTAAAATAATAGGAAAAATTAAATATTTGAAGAATAATAGTAAAAAATAGAATTAAAATTGAATAAATGAAATTGATGAGTTGGAGATAGCCCAAATTAAGTGATAAGACATCCAATGTTAGGTCTGAGTTCGATCACAGGTGAGTATATATGTACTTGAGTTGGATGAAATTCTCATTGAATGTGTAAGTGTGTGAGTGTGGCTAATAAGAAAAAAAAGACACCATTATTTGTTTATTTACTTCGACCCTCAGCTTAGCTATTTATATTTTTTTGAAAAATATCAAATTAAAATTCCTTTTTTAATTAAATTAAAAAGTAATTTTAAACTCAAAATATTTTATCAATATTTATTTATATCACATTAAATAATTTCTTTTAAAATTTAATTATTCAAAAAAATTTAATTCCAAAACTCATACCAAGGAAGCCCATATGCTGTCATCATCACATAGGCATAAATTCAGAAACAAAATTGGGGACAAAAAGTTAATACAAGTTTTTGTGTCATAGACATAAAAATGTCAAAATTTTAATGTTAATTAATTGAAAGTAAATTAATTGTAAAAAAATAAAATAAAATTACACAATAGCACAATTTAGTGGAACATTATCAGCTACATATAGTCATGAGCCGCGTTTTACTAATAACATAATACTTCATTCGTCTCAAATAATATATTTCTATTTTTTATTTTCGTCCGTCTCGTATAATTTATTTTGGAAATATAACTATACACTTTAATCAAATTTTAAAATTTAAAATTTATAATTTTTTAATCTTAATTAAAATATTTAATTACCTTAATCTCAATTTATAATTATTTTTACTAATACACTTCTTAATTACTTACTAATTATATTTTATCTAAATTCTCGTATCTACAGTAATGCGTCAATATTACATGGGATGGAGGGAGTAATATATACTTAGATAGTATATTTAAATATAAATTTACAATACATATAAAAAATAAAATTAATAACACGCAAAAAAAAAATACTTTATATATTATCTGTTATATTTTCATATGATCTTTATATAACTTTCATATGTTTATAAATCTCCGATCAACATCCTATCCGAAACGATAATCATGACTCACAAAATAAAACGTAACAGAATATAGTATACGCTAAAAATGAACGCATAATCATGATGAATCCTAATTTAATTTCGCATTGAAAATATTCTCATAATTCATTTCAAAGATATAATTGGATATTCTTTATTGATATGAATATTGATGATTAATATAAGAGCATTTGCTAGGAACCTTAATCCAGAATCATATACCCTCAAAATTATTACATCTCAGAATCTTTTTTTTTTTTTTACATTTCCTATGCTTCTATTTTTGTACAAAATAAAATAAAATAAAATACATTCTGCTTGACACGTTTCAGGAATCCAAATAAAATAACTAGGAAATGTTAATCAAGACACAAAACACCAATGTGTAATCCCTTTCAGCCCAATTATGTATCTACCACATATATAATTTTTTTAACCCCTATTTAATAATATATTTTAATTTTCAATAAAAATTGAAAATTTTACGTTGAATATAGCATGAATACAATAATTATTAAGATATGTTTTTGAAAGAATTTTAAGATTTTGAATCGGTTTTGTTGATATATATATATATTAATATTGTTTCTACTTGCATATATTTATTTTATATCACATATGCTTGTTTTGGCAAGGCCATTTTGCTCGAAAATCCAAATTTTAAACCCAAAAATTCTTTTTATTAGTCTAATGATAAACTCATGTCTGAAATCCAAGTACATGGCTTTGGTGGCAAGAATAGCATCGGGATAATACCTTATTCGGCGGTAAGTTTATCCGTTGCAATCAAGAATGAAATCAATGAAGAAGTAGAGTTCTTGGGGCATATTGTCGGGAATGGATGAATTCGCATGGAGTCCGGAAAGATCAAGGCGATTTTAGAGTCACCGAGAG